GCAAGATTTAAGATCTTCGTAGTTCTAGGCACAGACCCAAGAGTATTAACTGCTTTTCACTCGCACCGCTCTACGAAGTTGAAAAGTTCAAATTGCAAAGAGTTTCAGAAGAAGAGATTGTAAACAATTTTCTCATCTCTTGTTTCAGAAGCCGTGCAACATTTCCATTCTCGGAAACAAGTAAATCTTCATTTCCTTGAGACAAAACTTCGTTTTTAATACATTGATCGAGTGCAAGCTGCAATGTGAAGCGTGCAGTTTCCAACATAGCATAAAAGCATTCGAGAAAACAAATGTTACAAGCAGAGGAGTACACACAGCTTACAAGTATTTGAGATAAATACACCTCACAAGGATACGAGCAAGTGCATATCACCTGCATACAAGCACCCTGTTTGCACATGTTCAAGTACAAAAGACAGAGAAGCATATTATGTCAATGTGACTTAACCTACCCCGAGTCTTTTAGGGGGAGGGTGTTCGTATCGTGGACTGTCAGCATTGCCAATGGCAACCCAACCAAATCCGGTCAGACGATCCCTGTTGTACAATAGAAACATCGGGAAAAAATCTTTGCAGTCCATATCTGGTGAGATGTTGTACCAGTAGTGACGACCTGAAGACCGAACGAAATTAATTTAATCTGACATATTCACTCCTGTAATGCAACCGAGAACTAAAGTGAAAACCTATGTGTGTCTAAGCGCGCCAAATATTGATGTCTTCGACCCTGCTGTGGTTTTCGACCCACGAACTGTGAGGTTTGGACTGCGAATCTTTATTGATCCTCCTGGCGCGGTGCACCTTTGTTGGCCTGAGAGTTCCATTAACGACTTGCGATATATATATATATATATACATACACAAGAGATATAAAGACTATTCCATGGAAAGTGCGCACGAACGATTTTTATTCACGAGTTGCGATGCATCGTAAAACGAACAAGTGAGGTTTTTGATGCATCGCAACGAAACGACCGAATAAAAATCGTCCGTGCGCAATTTCCATTCTGATGAATGATGTTTTTATTTAAAAAATACCGAGATTTACAATGTGGAGGACGAAGTGGACAACTGTGGGAATAGATCATTCGTCCAATCAGAGACACGAACGATAGTACTTCACATAGTATATCTCAGTATGTGTGAAACAGACATTTCTCCAAGGTTTGTTCATGTGTACGTTAGGGTCCACTTGGGTCCCTAATCACCTCTTAAGTGAGTTGAATCATCGGTTTCACTTTGACTTACCCATGGTAGGGAAGCAGCCCCCGCGCACCCACTTAGTCTCTTTGAAATCTTCTTGCTTGAATGGAATCGCCATGGTAATAGAAATCTGGTTTCCAGTCTGTAGCAAAAGTCGGTCGCCTAAGTAGGCTGAGGAGGGCCTGGATCCACCGCAGATGTTTCGAGGATCGGTGAAGTAAGCTGTTATGACGTAGTTATCCCCTTCAGGAATCCACGGAGCTGTTAGAACTCCAACCGCAGACTTAGGAATCTAGAATCGAAAGATGAACCCATGGGCAGATCGGGACTTTTAATTACTTAAGGCCAAGGACAATTGTTTTCACTCGTACTCAAGAGGAAAAAACCTAAGTTGTTTTCCTTACCCCATTTTGAATTCCAGCAATTTTTCCTTGGGAATCAAAGAGAAGCATCACTGCGGTATCTCCCTTTAGAACGTAACGATTGCCAGCAAAATAATTGGACGCTGGAACGAAATGCAGAAAAAGGTGGAGTGAATGACCAGTGTAACTAAACATGTACGAGCATACGCATGCACCCGACTTGCCGCACTCTTTCACTAAGAAACAATGCACTAACTGCAGAGGCAACGGAAGGGCGGAAGGGCGAGTCTCTCTACACACGCGCTCATGGCAGCTTTTTGTTGGTCAAAAACAGCATGTAATGACTGGCCAATCACAAGGAACGTAAATAAATGATTGAATTTCCGAGAATTCGAAGCAAATACACGGTAACAAGACAATCTTACATGGCCAAACGTGATCGATCTAATTTGCCCTCGGTTTTAGGTTATTAGCGTTTGCCCGGTGAAAATGTACAGGATTAGGCCTATCTCTACAGAGACGGGACATCCACTACATTGTGGATAATCAAAGCCTTTTGACATTAATTTAACTAGGCAATCTTTCATGGAAAAACTCGGTCGATCAAATTCGCCCTTTACAGGATTAGGCCCATCTCTACAGAGAGACAACTCCGGCAGGCCTTGTGTTGTGAGATGAATTGGAAGCTGTTATTTTGAGACTTTTCCAGTTAAGCTTGTTGTTTTGTTAAGCCTTGCCTTTTGCGCCTACGTGTTGTTTTGGTAGATTTATAGTTATGATCTTTTATTTTTAGTGTGTACTTGAACTAGACTCAGTTCGCGGATTTTCTTATTACCGTGTTAGACATTATTTTCAACCATAATTAGTTTCATAGGTGGTCGTGTTTGCGTTGGTAAAGCTGACCTTGAGTTTTACCCACATTGAAGTTCCTGTTTGCGTGCGCGATTCTTGTGCGCAGCTCGACTGTTAGCGTCTAATTGGTTCCTTGGCCCTCGCCGAGTACTTCGGTGAGGGCCACCCAGTTTCCCCCTTTTTGCAAAGTAAACGGATACACTAAAGAAACTCTCACGGTCAGCTAACCCACACATGTCTATGGTTTTCCCACTTAGTACGTTGGTACTTCTCGCTAGAGCAGAGAGAAAGGAACCAAATTTGTTAGGGGGGGGGGGGGTTGTACAACTCGCTTAGCCAAATTAACCAGAGGCGCTAGGACTCTGTACTTCTTTAATTCTCTTCCAAAGGAGTTGACTTCTACTACAGCGATGCTTCCTTTTTCTCTGCTCTAGCGAGTAGTACCAACGTATTAAGTAGGAAAACCATAGACATGTTTGGGTTAGCTGACCGTGAGAGTTGCTATAGTGTATCCATTTATTTTGCCCTCACCGAAGTACTCGGCGAGCGCCAAGGAACCAATTGGACGCTAACAGTCGAGCTGCGCACAAGAATCGCGCACGCAAACAGGAACTTCAGTGTGGGTAAAACTCAAGGTCAGCTCTACCAACGCAAACACGCCCACCTATGAAACTAATTATTCTCAACCATAACTAGCGATTAAAATGTGTAACACGGTAATAAGCAAATCCGCGAACTGAGCCTAGTTCAAGTACACACTAAAAATAAAAGATCAAAACTATAAATCTACCAAAACAACACGTTTTGGTAGATTTAAGGCAAGGCTTAACAAAACAAAAAGCTTAACTGGAAAAGTCTCAAAATAACAACTCCCAATTCACCTCACAACACTTGTCTTACCATTACATGACTTTGTCAAACTCCATCCTTTTTCGATTGCTGTGTCGTTATCCTTTGGCAAAGTGTTGAACTTTCCCCATGTCACTGTAAAAGAACGAAATTCTTCTCTTAGATTGAAGGACTTCTTCATTCAATTTTTTTTTTGTGGCACCTATACCTCGCGGTGTATTGATAAGAGATGTAACAAAGTAATTACCAGAAGGGACCGAAACCTATTTACGTAATGAGCTAGTAAGGTCAAATAAAAAGCCAAACCGTTTCACCATCAAGAATGTTTCTCGCGTCAATATTTTTTCATTCAAGTTTTGAAGTCTACTACAAGTAAATCCAACTTCACATGCTGGTCCTGGCAGGTCCATTCCTAAAATGCATAACTTCAAATGATTTGGAAAACTTTTCAGTAAAACAGATAAATAAATGGTTGATTTTTTTAATTACCTGAAAGCGTAGACCATTCGGGTGCTGAGAAGAAAAGATAGAAATAAAGTTACTCAAAACAAAACTGACGCGCAAACTTTCACTATTACTCAACAGGCTTTCAATAAAGGCTGATAGTTTCTAAAGAAACTGTTAGGGGCTGCGTCGGTGGGGCTAACGAAATAATTTAGATATATCAACAAAGTTGAAATGGTAAATTGGCCACCGTAACGATTACAAAAGCTGACGTTTCGAGCGTTAGCCCTTCGTCGGAGCGATAAATTTCAATAAATTTCATTCGCGTTTTAAATTGTGCTGTATTTACCTGACCTGTCATGAGGCCGGTGGTTTAATAATAATAATAATAATAATAATAATAATAATAATCGACTTTACTAAAGAGGGTAGACACATAACAGCTTGCGCTGACAAACCAGTGGCCCTCAAAACTAAAGTTAGTAAGTAATACATTCTAAGCCATAGAGATTAAAAATAGAACTAACTATTTGAACAATGTAACTATTCAAAGATTATAAATACAATAAAACTAGATTATAATACAGCTTCAAAAGAATCAATGTCTCTATAAGAATTTATAAAATAATTCTTCAAATCATTCCTAAGAGAGGTTTTATTGTTGCTTGTATGTTTCTTTAAGATGTAGTGACTTTA